AATAACTTCCCGATTTTTGAAAATCTTCGATTTTCTTAGCGGGAAGTTAAAAATTTTTAGGTCTCGTATAGATTGGTAATATTTTTTTTTATATACACTGATAGAAATTTTAACTTGATTCAAGAGCAAAAATCTTGAACCAAGAACACCAATTGGAAGAAAATGAATTTCTTGAGCCAAGAGGAAAAATTCTTGGGTCAAGATATATTTTCTTAATTCAAGAGAATCTACCTTGACTCAAGAATTTTTCCTCTTGGCTCAAGAAATTCATTTTCTTCCAATTGGTGTTCTTGGTTCAAGATTTTTGCTCTTGAGTCAAGTTAAAATTTTTATCAGTGTACGGTTTTTTTAAATTGAATTTTTATTAAAATTTACTACGATACACAGCCAAGAAATTTCGAAAGAAGCTTTTTTTCTAATCTACTAAAGCTTTGAGTAGCTTCTAAAGATAATACATCGACATAGTTTTAAACATAAAAGAATTGATGTCGATTTCGATCCAATCAATTGATGTTGTGGAATTAAAAAAAATAATTCAAAATTTCAAGGTTTATTGAACTTTAAAATCACTTATTATATTTAGGTCAAAAAACTTGTCTCTTGATAGAACGAACGAGTTCAGCCAATTGGAATCTGAAGTATAAAGAACTGGAGGCCACTTATACTTTTAAAATTCTTTAATTATCAATATCTCCCATGGCTGATAAGTGATCATTATAGCTAAAATAAATATGAATTAATTAATTATCTTTTTTTTATTTGTATATTTATCAAATTTTTATATATTACAAGGCAATATAATATAACAATACATCTATTCTTATATTATTGGTAATTTTTTACAGAAAATGTTGAGTATAATGAACTAACATTCAGAACTGAATCTTTACCTATTTTTGGCCGTAAAAAAATTAAAAATTGAGTTACAGACTTTTAATACAAATTTATGCTTTTTTTTGTAAATCAAAAGCAAATAAATTGAAAAACAATTGATCTTCAAGGTCTTCTTTTAAAACTTTCTGATACTGTCCAAGCTCAAAAATATAGTTTTTGTACTTTTTTGAACTTTCTAGGCCTGAAAAATATTACCTTTATACATCATGATATCATTATACTTTTATTTTGTTGATTCGTTCGTTTTTCTCGGTTAAAATTATATACGGTTCAAAAATTGTGAAAGAATTTAATTTTTTTTTGTTGATGTATAATCGTCAATTGCTACTATAGTTTCTTGGAAAAAAGTTTTCATTGAAACTTAAAGCTCATTTTTATATTAAACTACTTAATTATTAAATAGTAATTTTTTCGATGCTTTTAAGTAAGGATAGGCCGTCGTAAATTTATTTTCAAAAAATTTATTTTTCTTATCAATTAGTCGTATGTTCTTTTTCGAAAACTTTATTTTATTTGAGACCTAACTAGACCAATAAAATTTCTGAAAATACGTTAACCACGGTCTAGCTTTTTAAACTTTTATTCATTTTCATTTTCTAAATAACTAAATATTCAGTGGAATTAATTATTAATTCACAGTTCAACTTTTAATAGTAAAATTTTATTTATTTAGTGAATAATAATTTATGAAAATGTAATAGAATTCTGGAAACTGTAGTAGAATATTTTAGCCAGTGCTCTGCAATACAATAGTTTGAATCATGAAGAATAGAATAGCATAGTTCTATTGGACACCTAAAAGCTCGACGATGTTGTTTAGCTAATGAGTCGAGAGGTCGTATCCGTGAAAGCGAACTCCGATGGCTGAGTGGCTGACTGCCGCCTGAGGTTCAAATCGTACCGGATATTCCATGAAGTCCACATGAAGAAGAGTTCATCTAATCAATTTTACGCGATTGTTCCAAGCAGCGTCGAAGAGACAGATCTCTGTGTTTTGGAAGTGGCAATGCACCTTCTTTACTGGTCGGAGAATGTGGCCCTTATCAGCTTATCACCATAATAATGTCAGAAGGTTTGGACTAACTTAAATAATCATTATCTCGTTTCCTTCTACGGAATCTATTTCTAGGGAAAGAATAATTCTTTTGTCACATTTTTTAATTATTAAATTCATTGTAATTAAAACCCATACTCAGACGGGAATTTTTAGTAATTAACCAGGTTTTTCGAAGGCTACTTCACATAATCTTATGATGACTTTCTGCATAAAATAAATGGAATATCAATTTTTAGGGAAAAAAAAATCTTTCATTCATTGCTCATTCAGGATTAAGAATTTACACTAAAAATCTTATCAAATGAATTAAGAACAAACTTTTTATTTAATTAATAAAAATTAGTCATTGACAAATAAAATACATCTCCTTAGAAATAAGTATTCATAAAGAAAATATTAAACACATTTTTCTAGTTTACAATTTTTCTAGTTTAAAACGCTACTAATAAATAATGTTCTAATATTAATATGATTTACTTAACGAAAATTTATACTACACATTAGGATGTGTCAAAAAAACCGAAAAATTTTACTATTTTAAATATTCGTTAAACTTCGACAGAGGATACGAAATTTCGCTGAAAATGAAAAAACAAACCGAAAATTTAAGATGTCAAAGTTTAAGTCCAAATAACTTTTGAAAATGTAAATTTATCAATAAATCATGAAAATTTTTTTGTAGAGGGTATAAAAAAAATTTTCAAATTCCTAATTTCAAATTCAAAAAAAGTTTAAAATTACTATAAAAATATGTATCACGATAGCCGGTAAGTTGCTTGTATAAAAGGATATAATATTCTAAAGTTTAAAAATATTTCTTCTAATGTTCTTTAGATGGAAAACGGATAATTTTTAATCGTGACCTCTAAATGTCAATATTAAAAGTTCTTATTTTGATAGAGTCTTTATTTTGGCATCCTCTGACAAAAGTTAATGATCATTTAAAAAAAGAAAATTTGTCGGTTTTTTTTTATACATCCTTCCACACATGTAATGTGGAATTTTGTGCGGTTATTAAAAAAATAATTTCTGAGTATCGGATAAACATTGCATAACAATATATATTATTACAATAAACTCAAAAATTAATTTTTAAAAAACGACCATCGAATAAAAGATTTTTTGACTCAGTATACTGGAATGTAAGTTAATAAAATTTCTTCCTTTGTTGTTATATGATAAAAAAATAAACTACCCATGATTATTAGTTGACAATTTTATCGATGTATACTCAACTTTTAAAAATATTCCGAAAGCTAATCATTCAAACAATATCTATAATTTTCTGAAATATTCAGAAAAGTTCAGAATCAGAAGCAGTCTAAAATAACTACAAAAGTTTTCGAAACACCCCAAAGCCTTTTTTTTCATAGTAAGGTTTCTTAAAAAGTATAAAATTATCTGTAACATTTTAGATAATACAAAACTCTGAAACACAATAAAAAATTGTTTCTAAATTCATTGTTGACTTTTAAAAATAAGTCTCTTAATTATCTGGAATAATTCATAAAGTGATTTTTTTGTCAATTCTATAAAATTAACAAAAAAGTATTCTAAACAACCATTTGTAGTAGGTATTTCGTTTGGCTTTGTTAATTTATTTAAATAAAATTACAAAAATTTAATTTTTTTTGAGTTTTTTAACTAAAAAAATAAAATGAATATATTTTTTTTTTCTTCTCATCTTATTATGCTTGATCTATTCTATACAATTCTATTTTGTTTTTAACATATATCATATATGCACAGATTTTTTATATGTGCATATTATTAATACAGATCCTGCAAATTCATGATTATTTTAGTTTTTTTTATTATTCACATGCCTATAGTATTTCACATAGTTTTCAGTTGATATTTTTACAAAACATTTATCAATAATTAATTCTAACATTTAAATAAAATTTATTGAAACAATACTATATAAGTATTTAGTAGCTAAGAGTTTATTTTTATCAATTTATTTTTTAGTAACTTAATTAAAATTTGAAAAATCAGTTTTTAATTTTATAGATGGGGTTACTACTTTCGTAAACAATGGTTTCATTGTTTCTGGTTGCTTTGAGTGTCTCTGTGCTTGTTGATGGCTTAAATGCACTGCATTTTCTAACTTAGTCTTTAACTCAGTGGATTGTGACATCAAAGTTTTGAATTCCTTAAAAAAAAGTTTAACCAATATTGATGAACTTTTATTATTGATTTTCTAATTTATTATTAAAATTAATATCTTACTTGAGGATACTTTGGACCAATCTTATTTAGCCATTGAAAACTCTGTTGATGTAAACTTATTTGCCATCGATTTCCTTGTAGTAATTGATCTTCTTCTAACAGATAATTTATCAATATTGGAACAAGAAGAGTCAGCATTTGAATACCTACAAAAAAATAATACAATTAATAAAAATTGAGTATACGTCCAAATTACAAATCAGAATAATACATAGTATCATATAACTTATTTACATCTAATAGAATAATATAATAATTTTTTTTAATCTTAGAAATAACACATATGACTTATTCGGTTATAAAAAATTAATGCCATATTAAAATACCTTGCATTAGATCTCCTGATCCGTATGCAATTTTTAAAAATTAATACAAATAAAATTTATTTAATGAAATACACTCTAAATTGTTTCTATAATATAAATAAAAACTTACGTGTTTTAGATTCAGCAAGAGTAATGAGAGCTTCAACAGTACTAATACATTCAATAGTAAAAGACAATTCGAGATCATTTTCAATTTGTTTACTCTGATCGCTATATAAATATTCAACTAATCTGGGTGCAAGAGTATGGATATAAGGAGTACTAATACTTTTTTTGGGATGCATAAATATTGTTTTTAATGTCTGAACACATTTTAACCTCACCTAAAAATAAGATAAATTTATTAAAAAAAAAAAAAAAAAAAAAAAAAACTTTACGAATAAGAATATTACAAAAAAAGTTTTTATTACTAACCAAAGTATCAGTAGACTGAATAGCTTGTCTAAAATGATTGATGCAAGGAAACTGTATATTCGGTGCACTAACAACTTCTGGTACTGCATGAAGAACAAAAACAGCTATACCAAGCATCATTGTAACTTCATCCATTTTTGTCTCATCATTTCCTGATTTAGCTAAATCGATTATTTTAGCAAGAGCACTTTGAAGTAATTCCGTCCACTGTTTTTGACTTACCGTATACCTCGAATATTTATTTGTAATGAAACTCTTCAAACAATGTAACGAAGCATGAACAGATGACTCCGATGCTGTTCTGGTATTTTGATTATCAACTCGAACTCCAGTTTCTCGTATAATACCAGTAGCTAAATAAAGAAGAGTTGGAAGAATTGATAGAGCACCTTGAGGTGAGCAAAGAGATGGAAGAGTTTCCATAATACTGAGAGTTAAAGTAATAAGTTTTCCATTTTCTTCAGAAGCAACGTAACTTTTTTGTAATAGAATAGCAGTTGTTCCTTCAGGATTAGGATTCAAAGCAGGTAATTGTCGAACTAAAACACAAAGACAAATTTCTAAAACTGCAAAAATGAATGATTTGCCTGGCTTCAATTCTCCTGTTTCTCCTCCTTCGCCCAATAATTCTAATTCTTCACGATTTATCGCTTCTGAATTAGCTGGCACCAATTTTTTTAATTCGATTAATTTTTCTTCTTCTAAATTTTCTTCAACAGCCTTTACAATTTGTTTCAGTACTTCCATTGTCATCATTTGAATTATACAGTTGTCTTGCGTCAATAAAAGTCTATGAAGAACATTACAAAGTTCAATAGGAAGTGAAATATCGGCGGTTAAAATTTTTCTAACCCACATGGAGTCTAATAAAGTAAATAGGGCGCTGAGACAGATTTTTATATTTTGTGGAGACTCAGAAGAACGTGAATTACATAGTGCTTCCATACAAATACCGAAAAGAAGATGAAAATGTTCGATACTAGTATTTGATTTGGAATTATTAATATTATTATCTGTAGGGTTATTATTGTCACTGTTATTATTACTATTATTGTTGTTATTATTTTTATTGTTATGATGATGATGGTGATGATTATTATTATTATTATTATTGTTGTTGTTGTTGTTGTTGTAGCTATTGCAATTATTATTAGGCGTTGGAATATTATCGACCGTCATGTGATTCAAATCAAATCCTTTTGTATTTAACCACAAAGCAGCAGCATGAAGAATAGGTGACCATGATTTAATATAATAAGGCCTTGCAGATTCTATTGTATCTGTTGTGTAAAATGCACCTCCTTCGTGAGGTAATTGACTTGCAAATTCTGGTGGTAATAAGAGTAAAGCATGATCACGTAATGCTGCAAGCCAATATTGACTTAAACTCAATAATTCAGGTTGTACTAAACTCAAGAGACTCTCATTTTGAAATTCAAATTGACCAAAATCATCATTGTCTGTATTTTCTGTTTTACTAATATTTCTTAACGATGAATTACGTATATTTGGAGTAGATCCGTTGTTTATCATCGCTACAACATATACTTCAGCCCATGCTTTAAGAATAGCCAATCTTTCTAAAGTTAGAAGACTTTCATTATATAATTGCGGACGTGTATGGCCATCACGTAATTTTTCTAATGATGAAACAAGCAATTGGTGAACACGTCGAAGATCATTAAGGTCCCGAGCTACTCCACTGCCTATCCAAGCACTGCAAGCTTCACAAGCGGCAGCAGTAACATGAGATGGTGTATCTGGAGAAAATGCTGGTCTTAAAGCAGCTCCTACTTGCGCCTGAAATTGCTCTAGAAGTAAATGTCCTGGGAACTCAGGTTCAGGTACTTTAGCAAACTTTTCAATAATTTCTTGAAGAGTTTTCAATCCCTCCAAACGTAATGGATCACAATCACTGGTTGCAGCAATAAAAGCCATTCGTACAAGATCAGATAGATGTAAAACTAGATAATCACCTCGACCTTTTACTTGCTGCAATTCTTTAGCGACTGATAAGTCGAAATGTGCTTGTTTATTATTATTATTATTATTATTATTATTATTATTTATACAAGTGGTTATAATACGACGGACACATTGAGCAGCAAAAACACGCGTTGGCCACCTTGGAGATACACTAGGGCGCAGTTTAGATTCATCGGCATGAAACTCCGCTTGGTCATCATCACCTTCTGTATCAGCACTGTCATTACCTACAAGGCTATCTTCATTAGATATTATTGCTATTTCTTCACATGTACTAGCTTCTGATGCTACTGTAAGTACGTCTTTGCAAAGAGCTATCCAAAGAGAGAGATTATTAGCCGCTAACATTTGTAGCATACTTGTTAAAATATCGTGTATATCTTTAATGAGTCCACTATCAGTTTCAATGTCTAATAAACTAAAAAGAACTCCCGGAAGACCTGTCTCTGTTATTGTTAAACCTTCAACAATATTTGTATCTCTACTTTCGTTTGCTAAACTCATCGCGTGTTCACATACTTCCTTAGCTTCTCTCTGAGCAAGTTGTCTTAAACACGATATTGCTGCTTTACGAAGGAGTAAATGATTGCTTGATAATGTACGGCATAAAGTTGGCACAAGAGAAGATAAATTTACATGACGTGGGGCAAATAAGTGCAACTGTTGAAGACATCCAGTTGCCTCTGCTTGAACTAAAGGATCTTGATGATCTTGCATTATTGCACAAGCACAAAGAAAAGATTGTCGAGCTGTACAAATAGATGATGTATTGCCTTGAAGTTCAGGCCCGATAGTTGTTATTAAAGCAGACAAAACTTTTCCAATGCATTGATGAACATCGATATGTGAATGTGACACATTTAACAATAACATCAATATTAAAGACAAAGTAGGCTCAACATAACCGCGAAACATTGGGCCTCCAGAGTCTGCAATAAGTGCTAAAGCGTGTAAAGCCCATACCTGGACTACTGGAGAGGTATTATCTTGAGCAAGAGCGAGAAGAATACTAACACTAGTATTTAGATGTTGACTTGATCCCATTCCTCCTACGTATCTATGTAAGCAACCTAATGCTAAGGAGTGGCCAGTTCTAGTAACAACATCTCGCGCAGATTTTAAACGATCGAAACTCATTTGAGCTAATTTTGCTGTGTATTTTGGGTCTGAAATTACTTGAGCCATACGTCCAACGGCTTCTCCAGCCGCCCATCGTAAAATTGAATTATTGCTAACGAGTGTACCGACAATTAAATTTGTTGCTGATTTCTTGACATCTTCTTGTCCAAACCCAGTTTTTGTTTCGTTAAGCCCTTTCAAACCACTTAACACTGCTGTAAATACATTCATTTGTATAGCTTCTTGGCGGCTGGATTTAGCATGCTTGATACATTCTCCAAAATGATCTAACATTTGTAAACGATGCTTATTAGCAACTCGAGGAAATATTTGGCCAAATAATGATACTGATAAATCAATCACTGCAACGCCGAGTGGAAGTGGCCCAGGAATTGTTTCATTCTGAATAATTAAATCCAATTATTTTATTTTTTTTATTAAAAATTAATTAATAATTAAATTTAAAACTTACAGGTGATACAGGCCGATATAAAGAACATATATTGTGTTCGAGAGCTCCAGAACCGGCAACGCTGTTAGGCTGTAACTAATTAAAAAAAAAAACAAGTTTGTTCAAGTCAATATAATGAAATTTTTATATATAATAATATTTTATGTGTATAAGCTGTAAATAAATAAAAATGAATAAATGCTATTTGCTATTTGATTCTCCTTAAAGTATTTTACTTACGTGTTCTACATCTGCTCTTCGATTAGGTTCCATCTATATATCAATGCAACAATGTGATAATATATTGTTTTATTTGATATAATAATAATAATAATAATAATAATTATTATTTTAATTTTAATAATAATAAAATAATCACGTATAATAAAAAAAAAATGAAAAAAAGTACCTGATCTTCAATGGTACGATGCTCTGTTTCTTGAAGCCAAGTTCCTAAAATTACAGAATCGCTGGCATGACACACGATCCGTAGTAGTGATGTTGTAGTGTTTCCTGAATTTTCTGCTAGTGTAAATTCGGAGACCAACATTCTAAGCAAATGAGTGTATGAACCCTCAAAGGTTTGGGATGGTAAGAGTAATAATGTTTCATATAATCGAAGACGAACCATTGCTGATGGTACTTTTAGTTGACTATAATTTTTTATAACTGGTGAAATGTTAATAAGCATTGCAAGTGCAGATTCTATTGGTGTAAGTAGTCTACGAATAATATCATCATTTACTAGTTCAGGACAGTGTAATAAAAAACTGTACATAGCTGAAAGTGCACCTGCACGACCTTCCAAAGTAACATGCCAAGTAAACTCATCTCCTCGAGCTTTCTCACTTTCCAATTCCTTAGCAGATCTCGGAAAAACATTTCGCCATAATAAAAGCATCCTTGGTAGTAAGCCTTTAACAACAGCAGTGCCTAAAGTCATAATAGCTCCAATCAGTAACCAACCAGCTTGAGTTCTATTAAGAGATAATCGGCTATTTTGAGCGGCACATCTTAATAATTCTTCAGCAGTGTTGAATATAATTTTTCCTTTAGTATGAGGTACTCCTAATGGAGATAATCTAACACTACCTAATACAGCAGCAAGAGCACTACTGTATCCAGCAATAGCCTCCGGTGAACTTCTCATATTTTCAATACCGTCAATGCATTTATCAATCAACGGTGTAATTTGACTTGGTATAGCAACACAAATACAACGAAGACACCATGAGGCTGCTAATCGTGCTGCTAGACATGGATGGACTAACACTGCCATAATTGTATCAATAAGACACAGAGATTGATCTGTGATTAAATTTGATGCCGTTGTTCCGAGACTGAGGATTAAATTACCTATTTCTTGTAATGCACAAACTAATAAATGTTGACTGTAGAGTGTTTCTTGATTAAAGTCTTTAGCGTTTTCCGGATTAAAATCAATAGAGTTCATTTCCTTTAAAATAATATGAGCTATTTCTTTACACGCTGCTGCTTGAGCTCCTTCTCCTAAAAGTTTTCCGACAGTACCTCGAAGAATAAAATTGATACACTTTCTACAATAAACAGCATCTATATGAGAATTTGCAGCTTTTGAATTTGCTACAAGATCAAGGACATGTGCAACAAATACTCCAATATTTCTTTCTAACCATGTTCCGCCTAATATTTGTACGAAAATAACGTAAGCATGTGTCACGCCAACACGAATTTCTTTATTAACACTTGAATTGCCTTTTATAATTTCTCCAGTTCCTTTCAGAAATCCAACTCCACCTCGCGGAAATCCGCCCATTAATAAATTTAAAACTTCTTCAAGTGATATCGATTTACTATTTTTAGCTTGAGAAGTCATTGGATTTTTTGGTTTTGGAGCTGGAAGCTGTGTCATTGCACATAAAGTACCTAATAATTTAGCTACAGAACACCGTACTTCATAATTAGAACCTTCAAATGCTCGAAAGCATAATGTTGCCATAGCCTCAATTTCATTAGTATAAAGAAACGGAGCGTGATTTAGCATTTCCAAAAGACATTTTGCGGCAGAACATCTAACAGCCATTGATCTGTCTATTAGATAACTTCGAGCTACTTTAGATATTTCTTTATGCACATTTATTATTGCTGAGCCCATACCAGCACATACTTTTTCTAATGTATGCATTATTTCAATCCTTACTTGAGATTCAGCTGATCGTAGTGATTTTATAAGAATTTGAACTGTTTCTTCATAAGATCTACCCATCATACGTCCTAATTTTTCGTACATAGCTCCAACACAACATATAGCAGCTCTAATTAAATAAATCAATGTAAAAAAAAAAAAATTGTTATTTTATTTTTAATTAAAATAAAAATAATACTAATAATGAGTAAAGCTTACAATTTTGTAGGAAGAAAACTTGGAGAATCATCTTTATTTTTTAAGATGTCATTACATTTGTTTACGGTGTCAAATAGCAGAAATGTATCTCCAACACTGAACAATGTTGCAAGACATCGAGCTATTAATCTTCGTGTTGGTGGACCTGGTGCATTTTGCATATGTCTGCTTAATTGTTCGACTAATTTTTGTTGACAACCTTTGATGTCATTCTAAATAAATAAAAAAATGTATTTTTGTTTTAATTGAAAAAAAAAAAAAAAAACAAAGATCATGAATTTAATTATTAGAATATTTATATTTACTTTTTGTGCGGCGACTAAAACTTTATCTAAAAATCGTAACCATTCAAATACAAAGACTGGTCGTTTGGCTTCAGGAATTTGATTTAATGCATCCTCATTTAATGTTAAACTATGACTCAACTCCATCATTGTCGTTACTTCACAAACTCGAATAACAATAATTACTTACCTATGGAGAAAAAAAAAAAAAAAAAAAAAAAACAAATGGTTTGAAAATATAGAACTTATACTTGTAAAAATTTTAATTAATTCTAATTATGTATATCAAGAAAAAAAATTAATTATAAATTTTGGGTACAGATTTCTAAATTCACAAGAATGTTATAAAATATTTAGTATAAAAAAGTGTAGTGAGAGAATTCTCAGTTAAACTAATAACATATTTATATGATCTTTAATAATAATAATAATAATAATAATAATTTTATTACAATTGAATAGAATGATACTCTACATACGTCTTGTCAAAATAATATGGTTCACAATGATGTTTACTCACTTAAATAAATGTCAAATTCTACTTTGTTTTGATGGTTCAATATTAAACCACTATGAATATATCTTTCCGGATGACATTGATCTACTAACTTGGACATATAAACACTACCAATTCGTAAAGCTTACGGAATGGATACAGAACTTTAAGAATTGATTGTTTTACTTATAATACGAAAATTAAAGATCCAGAATATTTAAAAAATGATTAGATCTCTGAAGTTGCTTTGATGTATAATATAAAATTAAATTTTATATGTTATTCACGTCTTTCATCAGCAAACTCACATAACCCTGTTAATATGTATGTATCGTGTCTAAAGTGCTGCCACTTTTGTTATATAGTTGCGGAATAGACCTCAACTAATAAATATTTACAAAAATCCATATTTAAATAAAATTTAATTTAAATTTATTTATTTTTTGTAAATGTCAGATAATTAAATAAAAGATAAATAATTTTATGTATATTTACTATACTTTATTTTAACTTGCATTTCCAGATTTTATATGTTACTTATAGACTTTTATAAGTATACTTATAAGGGGTATTTTAAAAAATACATTATCTCGATATTTTGATAGGGTAAAAGACCCCATTAGTGGCGGGGACCCCATTACTGACACTTTCTTTGATTTTGGTACTTATTCAATTAATGAAATCATTAATTTCAATAATGAATGTATTATTTCTAATCTTTAAGACGTTTAAAGACGAATCAAAAAAATTTTTGTTCCAAACCCTTATAGGAAAACAATTATATATACAACGGGGCCTGTCTTGGCACAATACTGGGTTGCCCAGATTCGGCCGAACAATACTGGCCCACGACTGGACCACTACTCAGCTGACAAGTCTTGGTTTGCCAGTCTTGGACCAAGACCCAGCCAATATTCAACTGACAAGCCTTGGTTTGCCAGTCTTGAACCAAGACCCAGCCAATATTCAATTGACAAGTCTTGTTAAACTACTCTTGTACCAAGATCTAGCCAATATGTCTATATGTAACAAGTCTTATTGGTTTGCCAGTCTTGGACCAAGACCCAGCCAATATTCAAGTGACAAGTCTTGGTTTACTACTCTTGGACCAAGACCCAGCCAATGTCTATGTAATGAGTCTTGGTTTGCCAGCCTTGATTCAAGAGTTAACCAATATTTAATTAACAAGGCTTCACAGAAAAAAAAAGTTAACTTTTTTTTAAGAATCGAGTGTGAAGAGTGGGAAGAGGCTAATTATTTTGATGTTACGAATAAACTCCAATTCATTAGGGAGGGGGGGGGGGTCAAAATGGGGTAGGGGTGGCAAATGGGGTACTTAATATGGTCAAGTGTATAACCCTAAAGTGTTTTCTGTTTTGAAAGTTAAAAACTTGCTGTTTATTTACGTAAAATAGTTTTCTTAAATTACAAGTCATAATTAAGTATGAACCCATTCGCAGGGGCAGCGTTAACAACACTTTGTTTGGTTGTTGGAGCTGTTGCTGCTACTATATTTGCTTTTTCACAACGTCAATACAACAACAATCATCATGAAAATCATCACAATCGTCAAAAGTAATCAATCCAATTATATACAAATAGAATTACATATATTAAACTCAATTAAGAAACAGGTAATTGATAACGATATTTTTTTCCAGTAAATTTAATCCAAGAAGAGCTCGTAACTTAACTTGCCCATTTTGCGGACAGGCTGTAGTTGCTAATGATTATCCATTAGCTTGCGGTCATTTGTGTCATGTAACTTGTTTTAGAGCACGGCTTGCAAGTAGAAGAGACGTAAGTTTATTATTTGATTTAAAACACACCAACATACTTATAAATTATTTAAAATTTTTTGTAGAATTGTTCATTTTGTTACGATGATCAAGATGATGAAGCAGTATTAAAAGAATCATTTTCAAGAATGGATGAAGAAGTTAGATACCGAACGAATCATCAATCTTCGTCAAATATTAATGAAAATGATGTGACTCCCGCTTCAGCTCCTGAATCAACGTCGGGGACAGCATCAACAACAACAAAAGAAGTCTGTTGTGCATTTTGTAAAGTATGGCTAGAGATTCCTGCAGACCAAAAACAATTAACTTGTGGTCACTATGCCCATAATAATTGCTTTGAGAAATTAAAACATTTAGTGAAGGTAATTATTTACGTTTTATAAAGTTTATAATATTTTATTAACATTGATTGAATATTTATTTATTTTTTTTTTAGTGTCAAGAATGTACTAATGATTCATCAGACTCGGAAGACGAAATAGAATCTCCGTCACATTTCGTTCCCAAATACTAATTGATCTGCTTAGAAGTTAATTAATTTATTATTAGAAGGCTAGATTTTATGACCCTGAAGTTAGCGGATAGCAGACAAAATAAAATTTCAGATAGGGATATCTACAAGCGAAATTAAGTTTTTCGAGTTTACCAAATTATAAATGGTTTTTGTCGTTGACTTACCTACAGATGATAATAAACAAATTTTTTTTTTGTTAATAAAAAATTTTTTACATTAAAAATTAAATTTTGGGAAACTCTCACCGTGTTTCCTATCGTTTCATACATATGAAATTTTCAAATTTAGTTTATTTTTAAATCCAAAAAAGATGATTTCAGTTAGTTTTTTTAATTTTGGCTTAGGGCATTCTGGGACGTATATCTGCGAGTAAAATCAATGATTATTATTAAAAAAAAAAAAAAAAAACAGTCACCTTTTCGTCTTTGAAAAATCTAAAGGTGGTATTTTTTTGATTTCAAATTTGTTAGTCGGATCGTTAGATATCCTTAATTTTTTATTTTTTTGAAAATTTTGGTGCCGGATATCAAAGTAAAAACGACGCCATTCGGCCATACCCGAAATGGAAGGTAGATTTCATAGAATGAATTATCGTCTTGTCTCAATAACTTTTGTTTAACATGGATAGGTTGTATTACACATATTGCCTGAAAATGGTTCAATTGAACTCTTAACTTCGATAAAATAACTAATAATGGTCAAAAAGTTAACATTATATACGTCAAATAAGAAGTGTTTTTATGAGTTTTTGAGTAAATTTATCAAAAATGAGCTATCTTTTTGCTATTAAAAGTTATACATAAATGAAGTCACCGAAAACGTAATTTCTCCTATTTTGATCATTTTGAAGAGCTACTATTTCTGAACTAATCGAAGGATTTCGCTCATTTTAAGGCTCATGCAAGCTAATTGTCAAATGAATTTGTATACTAAATTTCATTGGGATCTGTTTCGAATTCTCGACAGAATAACATTCATAAGTCGCCTGCCTACACATTGCCTGAAAATGGTTCAGTCAAACTCTTAACCTTGATAAAATAACTAAAAATGGTCAAAATGTCAATGTTATATACGTCAAATTAAAGGCAATTTTATGAGCTTTTATATGAATTCATCAAAAATTAGCCATCTCTTTTCAACCAAAAGTTATACATTAATGAAGTCACCGAAAACGTGATTTTCACTATTTTGATAATTTTGAAGAGCTGCCATTTCTAAACTTATCGATGGATTTCGCTCATCTTCGAACTCATTCAAGGTTATTATCCAAAGAATATGTGTAACAAATTTCATCTAGATCCGACAAGAACTGTAGACACAATCGCGGCAACATCCCGCGTTATATTACATATGTATATATATAAATATATATATATACATACATATATAAATTTTTTAACTAACGTTATTTTTGAGCTTCACTCGACTAGTTAAGTAATATTACGACAAAATTCCGAGTGAATTCCGACATGAGGACCAATGCAATAGATTGATTTCTATGAAATCTACCTAATAACTATCCGAGCACATGTATGAGAGTGTAAAAGTAAATACATGCAAATTAAAAAAAAAATTTTTTTTTAATTAAGAAAAAAAATAGAACGAAACGTCTGTCGACGATCGGATTGGTCTAAAAACTTTCTATATTTGTCCAAGTTTTCTTGAGAACTTTTTTCAAAAGAATCGAAGGGGGTATACATTTCGAAAAAAATTTTTTTTTGTTTAAAACTTAAAAAAAAAATAAGAATAAATCAAAGAAGATCAAATAAGTATTTTTTTCTTGAAAGAGCATTAAAAAACAAAAATTTTGAAAAAAACGGGACCCCGATAGCTGTATTTTTCGCGAAGTTATAGCTCTTTCAAAAAAAAAAAATTTGAATTTTGAAAAAAATCAATATCTCAGAAACGGGTAGTCAGAAAAATTTGAAAAAATTCATGAAGGTGTGCTTTGACGGTATTGAAAACATATCAAATTTTCAAAAAAATTAGAGAGGTTGACCTAAAAAAGTGGCCGATTTGGTATGGAATGCCCCAAATATAAAAATAAAATAAAAAAATTTATTTGTATATTAAAATGTCATGCGCAGTAATTTTTTGTAAACTGAGGACTATGTGTTTTTATATTGTAAAATTTTAAGATATTTATTAATTTGTTATTTTTTTAGATATTTGTATTGAGTTTTTGATTTTACATGAAAATTGTTAATGGTTTATTTGTTTGTAAACACATAGGTACCTGATGATGATGTCAGAATAAAACTGACGAAACGTCGCATGTTGAAATAAATGAAATATAAAATATAATATCAATTTGGTCTACAACATCCTAATTTAAATTAATTATAGAAGAATTTAGGCCTGATTAGAGCAATAATGTAGATATTTATTGTTTAATGAATATTTGTTAGCAAATGCTTAAATTGAAATTTTATTATTTAACAAAAACAATTACATATCGTCAAGATTGATACGGTCTCAAAAAAATTAAAATATAATAATTCACAATGGAGTTTTTAGTATTGATAATTTTAAACATTAAAATTTATAACAAAATATTAAAAGTATACAGAACGATGTATAAATACTAAAGTAATATAAAGACTTGACTTATGTATTTTTTTAAATTAATAAACATTTGTGAAAAATCGTTTATTTTCATCAAAACACAATATTAAATATCATAAAATGTGAAAATAATAAACCGTCACACTCTGTCAGCATATAGAGTTAGGTTATATGAATGATGAGATGTAGATCAACTTATCGGTTGTACGGCGTAGGGGTTAGTTATCGGTCTAGTAAGCGCGTGGCTCGGGTTCGAATCTCGGTTAGGGTAAATGCAATTTTCACTTTATTATCATAATTAATAAAAGTTAGGTCTAAATAAAGAGTCAAAGAGATTAAACTTGCGTTAGCCTTGCATAGAAATTAAATTAAAAAAAAAAATTTCTTTTTATCACTTTTTATCAAATGGCATGGGCCAGACTTGAATAGTAACTGTGGCCCAGTCCTGGTAACCAGGCATGGGTCAGACTCGAAAATCGGTATTGACCCAATACTAAAATTCAGTCTTGGCACAATACTTATTTTCAGTCTTGGCACAGTACTGATATTCAGCAGTCTTGGCAGGAAGTTATCATTTGTATGCTTAGACGGACTTGGGCCAAGCTTGGATTTCAAGCTTGCCCCAGAGTTAATGAGCATTGCGTCAAGACTTGGCCAAGCTCGGGCCGATTGTTCTTTCCTCTAAGGGAAGTAGAACATTTTTTCATTGAAAGAAAAAGTGCCACTGATAGGGGTTAAAGGTGCCACTAATGGGGTCTTTTATACCTTATAAGCCTTCAATTTGTGGTACAAAAAGTTAGGAAAATTCCCCAACAAAAACTCAGTTTTCCTTGGTAATCTATTAAATCTTAAATCTAAACGGATACATATATGTATTTTTACAAAAATTTACCGTAAAGTAGTTTCAAACTAAAAAAAACTTTAATTTAATTAAGATAACGGAATTGGAGCTCCATATTAAAGAACAACTTAAGTTTTAAAAATTACTCTCAGCATATAAAACTATCAACAAAAATTAATCCGTGTTTTAATGGGGTATTTACAAGGAAAAAAATTTTTTTTTTAATTAAAAAATCAAGGTAGTTGTAATTATATAATATCTGATAAAACTTCATCATATTTCGTCAGATTTAATTTTCTGTCATCAAATATATGACGAAATCTATCTAGATGAGACATCATTCGCTTAAATATGATGAGATATAAACATCTGCCAATATTAGATATGTTTGTTTATAAATAAAGAGATTGATCCTCCTATAAATATAATTATATATTATTATATATTTATGCAATGTCATTACATATTTTTCCAAGCAACATTTAATAAGTAATAACTAAAAATGTCTGCAAAGTATAATTTAATTATAGTTTTGATTTATTTTAATAACTGTGGATAATAAGTCTTTATAAATATATTTCTCTAAAAAGAGTAATTGTAAAATTTTTAAACTTTTCGATTTGACATTTTTGAAAATTCAGGATTTAAATTAATTCATCAATTGAGATCGAATTAATTAGATTCATTACAGCTCTCTTACAAAGTCTAATCAGCTTTATCCGGTAAGCGGTTGATTTTGCAAGGCATCTCTGGAACTTTCCGCTAATTTTAAGTTCAAAAGTTTGAAAAAAAAAAAACATTCTGTTACGAAATTATTGAGCTTTTCGAGTTCGGCAATATATTTTTCATACTCCTAAAAGCTCAGAAATATCATTTTTATTTAATTACGAGCTCACAGCAGACAGACGTTGTTCTATCAAAATTTCACAAAATCTGTATGTGACCGGTTCATTAAATAGTAAAAAACTTTTGAAATTGTATCAACGAAGTAAAAATAAGAAATAAATCTATATCTTATGTCTGATATTGAATGTGAAAGGAGTAAATTCAGTTTCGAATATAATCGACATAGAGCCATGCGATATTTTATCAAATTCTAAATTACAATTAAAATAATTCATAATTTTAGGTAAACAGTCTAAACAATGAAATACTGTTCGTTGGTCAATGCATAGCTTGACAATGACTGAACCAATTAGGTTAATTTTTTTTTATTTGTTCGTATGAGTTCAATTTATGTGTTTATGAACAAACAATTCTAAAAAGTTGCCCGGAAAATTAAAAAATTTTGGAAAAACTTAGTTTTCTTTTTTACGGGATTTTTCTATGAACTACCCGGGAAAAAATATTCAGACATGACCATGTCTGTTCATGTATGACCAGTTCTGAAAGTAGGCATGAACATGCCTGCTCATGTCTGAGGCGTTATATACTTCAGGCCTGACCGTGACTGATCAGGCGTGAATAGACATGATCATACCTGAAGATTTCAATACGTTCAGGCATGACCAGGTTTGTTCATGTATGGTCATGTCTGATCATGCGTTCATGCATGGCCAGGTCTGAATCGTTGAATACACGGAAAAAATGAAAC